TATCGTGTGATTATCCTAAACTTATTGAGACTGATTTGCGTAACTTTCCACATTGTTCTGCGCAGACCGCGACAATATATAACGCAACATTTCAAATATATAGTATGCAGTGATATCTAAAATATTGAAAAATAGTAGATCAATGTTTGAAATTAAATTTTAAATCTTGTGTGGATTTAGAATTCTATATGCAAAATTTGTGCAGATGCCTTTTTTTTTATGTGCGGAGTTTTCAAATTCTGTGCTAGCGCACATTCTGCAAATTGAATTTCAAACACTGACCGAGAGCTGACAGTCAAATCCTATCAGTTAGAACTAGTATTAAAAAAAATTTTGTTTGAAAGAATTTGAGGTATGTATGAATGGGTGCAAAAATTCAGATTATTTATTTTTCTATCAAATAAAGAAAAAAAAATATAAATTCAATAGGAAAAGGTTTTAAGCGGTTAGAACGAATTGCAAGCATACTTTTGTCTTTAAACGATCGTATAACATAAATGGATATATAAAAGCGTATACAATATATCAATACATCAATATTATACATTTAATAAATAACTAATTTAAAGCAAAATATTAATAGGATCAGTCCATCAACGTTTTTTCTCATACGTTTTCTACGTTTACAAAATTCAGAATTTTAATTAAAAACTTCTATTCAATTAATGCTACATAGTTGTGTATAAAAATGCATTTAAGAAAATAGCATTAAAAATGTATGTTTTATCGTAATAAATTTAATTACATACACAAAATTTTAACCTTCATGTAAATATGTATCAAAATTAACAAGTAAATCTTGGAAAAATGAGCCAAACTATGATAAAGAATATTACAAACAGATATATAAAGAGGTTAAGAAATCGTCCCTACATTAAAAAGCTACCTTACAGATGACGTTTCTCTAGAAACCAATCCTCCTATGGACCAAAACCCACCAGACACTTTTTATTCTGATCTCCGATTTGTTAGTATGGGTCAAAACTCTTTAGACCCTATCTGTTATAATTCTCCATTGATCGAAACTCTCCAGATGCCGCCTTTTTAACTCCCATCTTCACTTACGTACCAGAACACTCTGATTAAATATAGATCAAATCTCTCTCTCAACCAATTATATCTCTTTAACGGTATGATTTACGTTTTGAAACCATCCTATCTATGGATTTAATTTTCATTTCTTAGAATAAATAGTGTGTTCTTTTTGATTACAAAACTTATTATAAATTAGGCAATGCAAATAGATACATTTATATTATTTGGGTCAACAAAGCTTTAATTTAAATAAAACATATATTCTAGGTGCCGTCGAAATTAAAAAAATTTCCTTTTTTAATTACTACGGCATGTAAGATGATGACATATTTGTTCTCGGCTCATCACAACATCACAACATCACAACATCACAAATATTCCATCATCCTACATAACAAAGAACTTCCTTTTTGAATTTCGACGGCGGTAACGTGTCAAATGTTTTATTAATAGATTAACTTTTTGTTTTGCATAAATAATATGGAAATGCGAATATAAAATAATTAATAATAAAATTTCAATAACAATAAATAATAATAATAGTAATAATAACAAATTTAAAGGAAATGACTATAATTTAATAAAGCATTTTTCCTGAACCAAGAAAATCTGCAAAAAAAAAAGTATTATCAAAAAATTGTTATAGGAACTTTCTGTGTCTTATTTTTTTAAACAAATGTACAATATTATTATATTTCAAGAATACTAATTCTTTAATTAATAATATAGAAAGTAATACTGTACACAGTATTATATAATTGAAATAAATAAAATCAGTGTTACCTTACATTTACCTATTCCGTTCCGCATATTACATCATAGTAATATTGTCGTATAATTATGGCCTTGCCTTAGTCCGCTGATATTTATGTTACACGATCGTTTGATGGTTGTATATAAAAAATGTACCTTCCGAGGAAGTACTTAATTTAAAAAATAAAAATTCTTTCGTAAACAAGAAAAAAAGTCAAAATTTTAATTAAAAATGTCTCTTTCTATTAATACCACTAAAATAGTAAAAGTCCCATTCCCCCCATCTGTTAGTGTAGATGAAATCATACAAATACATTTAAAAAATGGCATTAAAAGTGTATGAATGCATTTATGATTTATCGTAATGAATTTAATTATATATACCAAAATTTTAACATTTTACGTAAAAATGTGTCAAAATTAGCAAGTAAATCTTGGAAAAGCGAGCCAGAATATGTCAAAAACTATTATAAACAGATATCTAAAGAGGTTAAGAAACTCTTTAAAAAAATCGTCCCTTGTTTCATTAACAAATTTGGAACAAGCAATCAAGTTGGTACAAATGATGTTTCTCTAGAAATATCCCCTCCTATAGACCAAAACTCTCCAGAAACTATTTATTCTAGTCACCAATTTGTTAATATACGCCCTATTAACCAGATCTCTCCAGACAATGCCTGTTATAATTCTCTATTTATGAATATAGAGCAAAACTCTTTAGGTACTACCTGTTATAATCCTCCACTTTCTAACTCACCAGACGCCATTTATTCTAGTCACCGATCTGTCAATATGAATAAGGGTCAAAATTCTCTAGATGCTACCAATTCTAATCTTCCTGTGGACCAATTCCCTCTAGGAATTACTTTCCCTGATCCGTCAAATATGGAACAAATTACAACAGGAATTACCAGTTATAATTCTCCATTTACAACTGTTCTAGGAATCACTCACGTTAACTCTCCACCTTCAAACTATCTCAAAACTATTTATTCTAGTCAAAATTCACCAGATGCTACCAATTCTAATCTTCCTGTGGACCAATTCCCTCTAGGAATTACTTTCCCTGATCCTTCGAATATGGATCAAATTTCAACAGGAATTACCTGTTATAATTCTCCATTTACAAATGTTCTAGGAATCACTCACGTTAACTCTCCACCTTCAAACTCTTTTAACACTATTTATTCCGACCAAAATTCACCAGATGCTGATCCTCTCATGGTCCAAAACCCTTTAAAAATTACTTTTCTTGATCCAAGTATGAACCAAATATCTCCAGGCAATGACTGTTATAATTCTCTACTTATGAACTCGGACAAAAACACTACTTACTCTGATTATCCACTTCTAAATATAGATCAAACTCTCAACCAATTATGATAATTCTCTTTATATAACTATTTATGATGAAGAATTTATGAATTACCTTTCTCATTAACTTATAGAACAATTTTATTCAATCATTACGACTTAACGAGATCTAATCATTTAAACATAATGGATATTTTTATTATGTACTAAATTTTTTGAGGTCAAAACAACAATTTACATCCTGAATTTCGACGATATATATGATGATGACATATTTGTGATGTTTCCTAAAAAACCTCGTTTGCACGCAAATCATTTATTAATATATTAAATCATATAAAATAGCATTCTAATGTATATATTAAGCAATAAAAAGAATATTATTAATAATAAATAATTATATTAGTAATAACAAATTTAATTCATGATCCGTGATAGAAGTAAACTGATAAAATCAAAAGGTGAGATCCGCATTTGCCTTATAGTGAAGTATGAACCATCAAAACTAGGTTACATAAGTATTAATTTGTAATAACAGTTTGATGTTTCAATGCATATGATTTGTGTAATTATTCAAAAAATTTATTTGGTTCTACGAATTAAAGGATATATTTTATTGGCTATTAGTAAATCGGAATGACTATTTAATTAAGTAGTTTTTCCTGAAAAAAATGTATTATCAAAAAATATTTAATTATTTTAGTGAACATTTTACTAAAATATATTTTGTACTAATTATTTTTATAGGGACTTTCTTTTGATAAGTTTCTCTTTCAGTGTTGCCAAAGTTTATTTCTTTAATGATATCACTAAAAAAAAGAAAATTTTTTTTAAAAAAAATTAAAAAAAATATAAATGATATATTATTATATTTCATATTTTTCAAAGAATGATACTTTTCTAAAGCAACTAAATTTGATATCTTCATTCTTTTTTTTTTTGTTTATGAAATAGTTTAAAGAGATGATCTTAAAAATATGTTATACATATATAGTTTAAAATTATAGAATAATTCCGAATATGAATTAACAATAAATTTAATAAATCAAATAATAACTTAAAATAGAAATTAATATCCATTCAATATTAATCTGTGCTTTAATAATCACAGCTTTTTTTTATATTGATATTCTATTGTATAAAAAAAAAATAGAATTATTTTTCAGCAGATTTTTACAACGAATTAAATCATTTTTTACAATAACAGATAAAGTTTTTGTATTTCAGGTTAAATGAAAATCTTTGATTACATGTTTTTTTTTCTGCAGTTTCTTTGTTACATAATGATTAAATTGTTGAAACAAACCAATTGAGCGTCTTTGATTTTTTCCGAAAAAGATTCGATTTTTCGGGAAATAAACAATCCCCCAAAATTTTAAAATGCATGTATTACGTTTTCAATATTTAAAATTTTAATTTTAATAATTTAATAATTTATCATTAATAACTAATTTAGTAAATTATTTGGAATATGTTAGTGAATAATAGAAATACTTTGAACGGCGATTATCGATGCATTTTGACAAATACTATTGAATTAAAAATAGGTAACTAATAAATTACTAATATATTATAATATTAAATAATTTATATAACTTCTGTAAATTCTTTGCGTCACAATAGAGATTGATGGTATTGGTGTAGTATCTCTGCATAAAAAATTAATGATCTGAGTATAACAGATCTGGCAGGAAAGCGAGTTCATCGAGGTTTTGTGATTTATGAGTAAATCCAAAAAGGAAAATGAAAGGATTGTTGATTGATTCTGATACGAGTTTTTAGAATATCCTCTCAAATAATCCAATATATAATCAAGATGATAATTTAAGTGAATGTATATTATTATTTCTCTGGTTGCTACTAAAAATATTATTACCACCATGAACATTTGGAGAATTTGCGGAAGCATCTTTTAGAAAGCTTTCACTTGAATTTCTTCAAAGGTTGTTGCATTCATTGTATTTCATTATCTGGAATTTTAGGAAATATCTATACTATCGATATGATAAGTTAATTTTTGATTTAAAAACCAAAAATTAAGATTTTTAAGATTACGTTCTGGCTGAATCATTCTTCTGTAGCTTATTCGAAGTTTTCAATAGAATATTTATAACGCCATCTTGATTTTTTTTAAAAAAAAAAACTCTTAAGGATAACCTTTTCGAAAAGTTTAAAATATCACCTCACTAATAACAGAATATGTTTAGTTAATCTTAAATTAATGAGCTCATCAAGTCTTTCGATTATTTTTGTTGCATCGGGTTTAGCATACTTTGGAGTTTGGAGAGAAAAAACAAATAGAAGGACAAATTTATTATATTACCACTTCGTTTACTACCAAACATTTTTGAAAAAAAATGCTGAATAACTCATTTCACGATTTATTAATAAATGATATAAAATAGCATTGATCAAATCAATGGAAGCTTTTTGATCTGTTAAATTTATTATGATAAATTGAAATTTAAAGTTTATTTATTATGTAATTTCCGGGCTGTAGATCCTGACAATTTTCACTGATATTTTTCACGGGCAATAAACTTTCATAAAGTAAACTATTACTTTATTTTTTTGAATTTCTTATCTACGCACAAACATTTAATGACAAATATACGTACTCATTCTCGTGCATTTAGGAGAAGGCGGAAACAAATAAGGGTTGTCTTTGCATTATTAATTCATTAAAATCTTCATAAATTTGATAATATCTTTTTTTAATCCACATCGGCACTAAAACTTTACATTTTAAAATATCTCAACTATAATATTTAACTGCCTACTAAAGGTATTGAAGGTAAATCATTTTTTAGGTCTAGGGGAATAATCTTCATTTTATGAATTAATTATTTTATGAATTAATTCTATAATATATTTCTAAAAAGTTTCTAGTGCATCCCTTATTACATGTGTACTGGCCGAAAAGTTCCATAACATTTCCTTTGGCAGTTAGTTCCTTGATTTCAAGTTGGGAAATTAAGAATGTAAAAAACCGGAATAGATAGACTGGAGCTCCATGAGAATTTTCTTCATCGATAAGCTTTTATACCAAAATGTATTAATAATCGCTGTATAAAGTATTTCGACAAAATTCTAATATACACTTTACCACCGGAATATTTTCTGCGAATAGAATGAAATAATGCGTGGGCTCGTCCATATTTGGGCAGTTGGACATTATGAAATCTCTTACAGATAATATTAAATTCTATGGAGAATATCTTCTTTTTCCTATTGTTATTTTTAAAAGTGGGAGGATAAGTATTTGGATGCAATTTCATAGAAAAAATATAAAAAGGCGTTACACTAAATTGTCTTGGTCTCTCGACTCATTGTAAACCTAAAAATAGAAAATCAATATTTATGTATTAGAATCAACTAATTAGGTAACATAGCGAGTAGTGTATGATTCTAGAATCTTAGAGGAAAATTCTTCACTGGTGAGACTGGTAATTCGTGCAAATGGAATCGATTACGATTATTCACATGTAAATTCCGTTTTGTTCAGATTTTTAGTAATCAAAAGTGTTACGAATGACAAAATATAAATATCAAGAATATCAAATGCGTACGTGAATTTACAACCAACTTATTCATATAAGCATAACCCTCGGGCCAAGCAAATTCCTATGCATTTAATCAGGTTATGCTTGTATACGTTGAGAATTCATATATATATAAATCTAACAATGGATAGTATTTATGCAATACAAAAACAATGGTTGCTATTTGTTTACAATTTCCTTTTTTAAATTTCAGCACCAAATAAAATAATACGACATATGATATGTAACCGCAATGATATACCCCGGAAATGCGTAATGATGACTACTATCAATGTGTAATAACATATTTATTTCGTAATGATTATATTATTTTCAATAATTTAGACTACGACATTTAAGAATTTATCTGATATTAACATTTATGACCTATTCTATATAAAACATTGGATTAATAAATTAATAATAACTTAATCAGTGCTTTGATAATCACAGCTTTTTTTTATATGCTATTGTATAAAAAAAAATACTAGAATTATTTTTCAGCAGAATTTATACGCATGAGGAAAATGAATTAAATTTTTTTCACAATAAAGTTTTTGTAAGGTCAGGTTATATGAAACTCTGAACTTGCTATTATGGTAATAATTTTTTGATTTGTCATAAATTTGGAATCATTCAATTTGCTCAAAATTCTTCTAGATTTCTCTTAAATACTAATGCACGGAAAATAATGGACTTTCTCTAAGGATTTCTAAAAGGGATTTCCATTTATATCTTTCTTCATTTTGACTATCTGTTTCATGAGATTCAAACTTTCTCTTTTTCTTTGTCACAATATAGTATTTTCATTAAATTGAAAAAAACAGATGTATTAGATTGTGTAGGGGAGGAAAACTGAATTTTCAGTTGTTCGATTGAAGAATGTTCCAACTTACAACAGTTCTTGTTTCCCAGTTGTAAACTTAATTATTCACATATGTAAACCAAATTAAAGAAATAAAAACAATATGTATTGGAATCAACTTATTAAGTAATACGCAACTATAAATGTAAAATAGGACCAATTTAAATTTTCTCGTATATGGTTAGGAATAATCCTTCATTGGTTAGACTGGATAATTCGTGCAACACATGCAAATTCTGATCACGTGAATTTACAATCAACATATTCTTAATTAAATGCTGATATTAATTTTATGAAAATATAATAATATATAATATAAATAATAATAATACCACAGATAATTAAATCTTCAGTTTTTATTTTAGAATATTCATTTTGGCTGTATGCACAGCTTCTTGTACTTTATGTGAGCCTTGAATTATTTAATACAGAAAATAAATTGTAAAAAAAAAAAAAAATATCGAATATACTAAAATATACTATAATAAATTAAAAAATTTGGTTTTAATTAACTCTTAACTGTTAATGAAAAAAAAATTTTATACTATAATAAATGAAAAATTTATTTTTATTTTTTAATCTTTTTAGAAATAACTTACAAAAATTTTAATTCTATCGAAAAAATTTATATAAACAGGCATCTCTGCAAAGCAAAAGAAAAATAAAATCAGAAAATGTCTCTTCCTATAAAAAAAATACCATTTCCCCCATCTATTAACGTAGATAAAATAATACAAATGCATTTAAAAAATGGCATTAAGAATGTCAATGAAACAATGAATGCATTCATGATTTATCGTAATGAATTTAATCACGTTCACCAAAACTTTAACCTTTCATGTAAAAATGTGTCAAAATTAGCAAGTAAATCTTGGAAAAATGAGCCAGGATATGTTAAACAACATTACAAACAGATATCTAAAGAGGTTAAGAAACGCTTTAAAAAAATCGTCCCTACACCTTTTTTCATTAGCAAATTTGGGACAAGCAACCAAGTTGGTACAAATGATGCTTTTCTAGAAACTAATCTTCCTATAGATCAAAACTTATCAGACACTATTTATTCTAGTCACCAATTTATTAATACGGGTCCTACGAACCAGATCTCTCCAGACATTATCTGTTATAATTCTCTACTTATGAATACAGAACAAACCTCTTTAGGTACTACCTGCTATAATTCTCCACCTTCAAACCCACAAGACGCTATTTATTCTAGCTACCCAGGTGCTACCCACTCTAATCTTCTTGTGGACCAATTCTCTCAAGAATTTACTTTCGCTGATCCTTCGAAGATGGACCAAATCTCTCCGGACATTAACTGTTTTAATTCTTCATTTATACCATTTATAAATGCTCTAGGCGCTACCCATGTTATTTCTCCACCTTTTGTGGATCAATACTCTCAAATTACTTTCCCTGATCCTTCAGATATGGACCAAATCTTCCCTGGCATTACACGTCATAATTTGCCATTTTTAAATGTTCTTGACATCTCCCACGTTAATTCTCCACCTTCAAACTCTCTCAATAATATTTACTCTAGTCAAAATTCTCTAGATGCTACCAACTCTCGTCCTCCCATGGTCCAATACCCTCTAGAAATTACTTTCCTTGATCCAAATATGGGACAAATATTTCTAGGAATTAACTGTTATAATTCTCAACTTATGAATACGGATCAAAACTCTCCAGATGCTACCTACTATAATTCTGCAAGAATTGACTGTTATAATTCTCTACTTACACTCCCCTAGCAAAAGTATTTGTGGAATGATAAAATCCAAAAATAATTGCTAAAATTAAAATGCTAATTGTGGCACAATGAGTAATCTAAATTGCACAAACTTTTTTTATTAGATTCCCCTAAACTAGGGCTATCATATGATATATTTTGTGATAAAATTAAACGTCTATACATAGAGATATTACGCTTCAAATGAAATTGACAAAAAATAATAAATTTATTCTTAGATCGTTACCTATACCGC